AATATTGCATGGACATCGGGGGCAGTGCCACTCGATTGGTAGACTGGGGTGGTGGTTCCCCTCTTCAAAAAGGGGGACCGGAGGGTGTGCTCTAATTATAGAGGCATCACTCCCCTTAGCCTACCTGGTAAGGTCTATTCAGTGGTATAAGAGAAGCAAGTTCGATCATTGGTCGAACCTGAGATCCAGGAGGAACAATGTAGATTCCGTCCTGGAGGTGGAACACTGGATCAGCTCTTTACCCTCACTAGGGTCCTTGAGGGGTCATGGGAGTTTACCCATCCAGTCTGCATTTGTTTTGTGGACTTGGAGAAGGCATTCAACTGCGTTCCTCGAGGTACACTGTGGGAGGTGCTCTGTGAGTTTGTGATTGGAGGTCCATTGCTAGGGGCTGTTAAGTCCCTATATAAGCGGTGTGAGAGTTTGGTTCAAATTACAGGTAGTAAGTCGGACACCTTCAGAGTCAGTCAGAGAGTCAGAGTCAGAGATTCTTTATTGTCATTCGCACCTCATGTGGTACATGTGGTGGAGCGAAATTATGTACACAAGGTCCCAGTTACATCCAACAATAAAATGTATAAGTCAGAGTCAGAGTCAGAGTTTCTTTATTGTCATTCGCACCTCATGTGGTACATGTGGTGGAGCGAAATTATGTACACAGGGTCCCAGTTACATCCAACAATAAAATGTATAAGAAAAACAGTAATAACATCTAAGATATGAACTAAGAAAAACATCAACTAAATATACACTAAGCACTCATAACATAAAACATTGAACATCACCACAAACATGAACATGAGTCTGTGAGCAGATGTGCACGCATGAACACATCAACATTGAAACAGATCAGCAGCAACATGAAACAGATCAGCAGCAACATGATATGGTTTTTCACAGTGATTATTCTAGTTAGAGATTCATGAGTCTAACAGCCTCAGGGTAGAAGCTGTTCCTCAGTCTAGTGGTTCTACACTTAATGCTCCTTAACCTCCTTCCTGAGGGGAGTGGGGCAAAAAGTGTGTGTGCTGGGTGGGTGGGGTCCTTCATGATGCAGGTGGCCCTCTTCCTGCATCTGGAGGTGTAGATGTCTGTGATGGTGGGGAGACTGACTCCAACAGATTTCTGTGCAGCCTTCACCACTCTCTGCAAAGCTTTTCTTTCTGCAGCTGTGCAGCCTCCATGCCACACATTGATGCTCGAGCACAGGATGCTCTCCACTGCACACCTGTAGAAGGAGGTGAGGACTGAGCTTCCCAGACCAGCTCGCCTCAGCCGTCTGAGGAAGTAGAGTCTCTGATGAGCTTTCTTGATCAGGCTGGTGGTGTTGTTGCTCCAGCTGAGGTTGTCATTCATGTGTACACCCAAGTACTTGTAGCTGGAGACCACTTCCACCGCAGATCCTCTTATGTTCAGGGGGGTGTAGGTGTTTTTGTTCCTTCTGAAGTCCACAATCATCTCCTTTGTCTTCTTCACATTGATGTGAAGGTTATTCTCTTTGCACCAGCTCTCCAGGTGTTCCACCTCCTGCCTGTAGCTGGACTCATCATTGTTTGTGATGCATCCCACCACCGCTGTATCATCTGCAAACTTTACAATGTGACAGCCTGGATGGGTAGCTGCACAATCATACGTGAGCAGAGTAAACAGGAGGGGGCTCAACACACATCCCTGAGGAGAGCCAGTGCTGAGGGTTATGGTGGAGGAGGAGAGGTTGTGGATCCTCACTAACTGTGGTCTGTTTGTTAAAAAGTCTAGTACCCAGTTGCAGATGGAGGGGCTTAGTCCTAGTGTGGATAGTTTGTCCATCAGGGTTTGGGGGATCATGGTGTTGAAGGCGGATGTGAAGTCCACAAAGAGCATACGGACGTAAGAGTTTTTCTGCTCCAGGTGGTTGAGTGCAGTGTGGACCACAG